TTATTTCAGCTTCACAGGTAGGGGTTAGTGTTCTATAAGTTGCTCAGTACCATTTTTTATTTTGGGAAGAACCTCATTTGTGAAATTTGGATTTTTGTTTGTTTGGGTAAAGGGACACTTTACATCATCCAGGACTTCCCTCCCCTCTTCTCCATCTTGTCTGGTTACCTGCCACCTGAGTTGGTTGCCTTGTCCAGCGTGTGTCTCAGGAGACCAGGACTGATCTGTGAGCCTGTCTGCAATTTGTCATCCTGTGCTCTTCGGATGTCTCCTTACTCACAGTTCCAAGATGCTGCATATGGACAGGGCCATGCTGTGGGGGCAGAGCTCAGCCTCCCCAGAGGACTTCGCCAAGCCTGTGAGGGCCTGAGGCAGAAGCGCGTGACTGCTGGAGAGCAGGCAGCTCTGTCTGCTGGCACATTTGAGGGACCACCAGCCTGGGACATGGGTCTTAATACAGCTTTCCAACTGTCAGGCCAGTCATGATAAGGTAAATATTTCCAGTTTTTAAAATATGTCTGAATAAAATGACCTTGTAAATGAAAGTTAAGGAACAGTTGAGTGAAAATAAAATGTTTGCTAGTGTCACTTAAACACCACATGGCAGAGTGCTGAGGAGGACCCAGGTCCCTCAGGTCCCTGTTTGGGTGCCAGCTGAGGAGGACCCAGGTCCCTGAGGTCCCTGTTTGGGCGCCAGCTGAGATGGAGGGCGGACTCTGTCCCACAGAGTATGCTCTGGGTCATCATGGATGAGGAAGTAAAATAAGTCGTCCCATACATTTCTCTGTCTGCCAGGAGAAGGGATGCTTCCCTCTAGTGGAGAAGGCCCTGAGCCCTTCCCTTGAAGTGGCTTTTATTGAGAACTGTCTGCACAGGGGTATGGATGCAAAGCTCATCAATCAATATCAAAAGGCTATGTTTACAGAAAACAAATAGAGATCGTAGATAACAATTGAAGGAGCACAAGAGATTTGCCTCAGATCGAGGTCTGTGAATAATGTAAAGTTCCTTCCCAGCATGAGCTGGTTATCATAGCTTTTGAAGGAAGAACAAAGCATGCTTCAAGGAACTTCTAGGCCTGATTTCTACCCCTGGGGAACTGCCTGATCCAGTTTAGGGCTGTACCTGCCTTTAGTATTGTTTCAAGCCTGAGCCAGGTGGGTGGGGCAGAGCCCCCAAGAGATAAGGAGACTTCTTACAGATAGAATGAGGACTCCGGCCATATCAAAGCCGTGGGGTAAGGGATTTTTTCCCCCTTCTCCATGTCCCCCAAGTCCTTCCCTGATGGCCCCTATGTGACTGTGCCTCTCTCAGGTTACCCATGCCATTGAGGGGCATTACCTGTCATTGACTAACCAGTCATCTTTTGGGGCCAAGCAGGGTGATGTGAGGGACGCAGGGGCTGTGCCTCTGCCAGGGGGACCGGTTTTGTCTCCTCAGTGGCCTGTTTTCCCAAGGCCTCCTTGCTCAGCTCAAGCCTTGGAGCTCTCTTGCCTGTCGGCAAGGCTACAGTTCCTGAAACCAGGCGGGATGGTTCCCAGCAGCGTGCCTTTACTCTGGTTATAATGGGGTGGCTAGCTAGAACCCTTACCCAGTGACTGTGACCTTGGTTCCAGTCTACGCTTTCTCCAGCTGAGGGAGGGAGGGGCTGCGTTTAGAGGGAGACAGTGTCCTTCAATCCCTCTGTCCTTTCCTTCACGGTAGACCCTCATTCTGGACCTGGGAGACAAGGCCAACCAGGCACTGCTGCCTGTGTCTCCTCAGGCCCGGCTCAGTGGAGTGCTCCGGAGTGGAGTTAGTTCCTGAGGGTTGTCCTGGCCAGCCGCGGGGCAAGCCCTTTAGACTTACCGTTCCATTTACTACAGAATCTTGTGATATGAGAGTAACTCTCATTTTCACTTTAAAGACACACATGTACTTTTTCCTCTGAACCACTGAAAATATGTGGCAGATGTCCTGACTACTAGCTGCTCAGTATGTGTTTAGTATCCTCCTCCTGCATGGCCATTCTGTCTTTTTCACTCCTAAGGAATGAATAATTCCATGATATCATCTCACATAGTCCATTTCAAATCCCCCATTGTCCCAAATGCTTTCATGATCTTTTATTTTAACTGAGGCTTAATTAAATCTCTTCCTTCATTGCTGTCTCCTTAGTTTTTAAAATCTAAAACAGCATGCCCCATCCCCCGCATCTGCCTTTTTATTTTTGTCTGTTTCATTGACAGTGACTCTTTTTGAAGGATCCAGGCCACATGGCTTGTAGAATGTTCTGCTTCTGGGTGTAATTAGCCTGTTTTTTGCCTTGTGATAACTCAGGTTATATACTTTTGACATAACTATTCTATGAGATATATGCTCTTTACACTGTACCACATCAAAGACAAAAATCAGTGATCACTTGGCTGAGGCTGTTGCTGCCAGGTCTCTCTGCTGCGGAAGTGCCTCTCTCCCTGTGTGCCTGCTGAGTTGCCTGTGGGATGCCAGTGTGGACCAGTGAGCTTCCCGCTTCTCAACAGCCTGCCAGCTGAGGATGTTAGCATCCATTCATCGTTTTTGCCTGAATCAATTTTTACATGGAGGCTTGCAAAGTGATGATTTTCTGATTTTATTACTCTTCTGTTTTCTGATAGTCTTCTGTTAAAAAAAGAAATTTCCCTTAGTTTCTCCATTCATTTTTGCTTTTTTGAGTATCATTATGGGTACATAGTTTAATTATCCCAAATTTGAGATAGTGAGAGTCCCCTTAAGAGGACTCCTGTGGTATTTGGTCATGAATCCTCTTGTCTCGAGCTTTCCGGCTGCCGGAAACAACAGCCAATCCCAGCCTTGCCTGTGCTCGTTCTGCCTCACACCTGGAATCAGCCACTTCATCAAGGAACTTGATTTTGTTAATGGGGTGGCCAAAAATGCCATAGGTTCTTTTTTGAAAAATTAAAGGCATATTTTTCATTTTCATCAACAATTTTATTGATTTGGATATTTTGAGTATGTCGGCTATCTCCTGCATGGTGTAATGTTGATTGTTCTCAATTAGTGCCTCAATTTGATCACTATCAATTCCAACTTGTCTCCCTGACTGTGGAGCATCGTCCAGCAAGAAATCTCCAGCACAAAACTTCACAAACCACTTTTGACACATTCGATCAGTCACATCATCTTCTCCATACACCACACAAATCTTTTTTCTTTTTGCATTTCAGTTGCATTTTTACCTTTCTTGAAATAATAAAGCATAAGAGGTCAAGAATGTGTATTTTCTTCTACAATAAGTAAAATGACTATACAAAAATTCACGAGTTTTAAGTTTTTTTAAAGTGCATGCTGATATGACAGCTGTCAGAATACAGTCTAACAAAATTGTTTCAAATGAAGCTAAAGACAACTAAGCACTAGTAGAGCCATCTTATGGAAAAAATACCAAATGAACTTTTTGGTCAACCAATAGTTTATAGAAACCAAGATCTGGTATCTGCTTTCAGGTGTGCTTTTGTTACTGATATATTGTTCTTAGCTCTTTTAGTGGACAAGCAGAGAAAAACACAAACACATGCACACGTATGTAATTTAATCATGAGTTAATACCAATATTTCCGATTAAAATTTAACATTGCAGGTTTTTAAAACAAATTTAATATTTGCATCTGTTTTCTCCAACAGTAAAAATTTAGTTTCTTATAAAATGAGTACACATCGTTAGCTCTATCCCTAAATATACATACAATAATTTTAGAATTACAATGCTAATGTTACAATTAACAGTAAACTTATTAATGCTAAGAGAGTAGACCTTAACAGTTTTTATCACAAGAAAAAAAGAGCCCCCTCCCCCTTTCCCAGCCAAGATGTCTGGCATGGAAGATGATTTCATGTGTGATGATGAAGAGGACTACGACCTGGAATACTCAGAAGACAGTAACTCCGAGCCAAATGTGGATTTGGAAAATCAATACTATAACTCCAAAGCATTAAAGGAAGATGACCCAAAAGCAGCATTAAGCAGTTTTCAGAAGGTTTTGGAATTTGAAGGCGAAAAAGGAGAATGGGGATTTAAAGCACTGAAACAAATGATTAAGATTAACTTCAAGTTGACGAACTTTCCAGAAATGATGAACAGATATAAACAACTATTGACCTATATTCGAAGTGCAGTCACAAGAAATTATTCTGAAAAATCCATTAATTCTATTCTTGATTATATCTCTACTTCCAAGCAGAATTCTGATTTTTTATGTTGGATGGATTTACTGCAGGAATTCTATGAAACAACACTGGAAGCTTTAAAAGATGCTAAGAATGATAGACTGTGTTTTAAGACAAACACAAAGCTCCGAAAGTTGTATTTAGAACGGGAGGAATATGGAAAGCTTCAAAAAATTTTAAGCCAGTTACATCAGTCCTGCCAGACTGATGATGGAGAAGATGACCTGTAAAAGGGTACACAGTTATTAGAAATATATGCTTTGGAAATTCAAATGTACACAGCACAGAAAAATAACAAAAAACTTAAAGGACTCTATGAACAATCACTTCACATTAAGTCTGCCATCCCTCATCCACTGATCATGGGCGTCATCAGAGAACGCGGTGGTAAAATGCACTTGAGAGAAGGTGAATTTGAAAAGGCACACACTGACTTTTTTGAAGCCTTCAAGAATTATGATGAATCAGGAAGTCCAAGACGAACCTCTTGCTTAACACATTTGGTCTTAGCAAATATGCTAATGAAATCGGGAATAAATCCATTTGACTCACAGGAGGCCAAACCATACAAAAATGACCCAGAAATTCTCACAGTGACGAATTTAGTAAGTGCCTATCAGAATAATGACATCACTGAATTTGAAAAGATTCTGAAAACAAACCACAGCAACATCATGGATGATCCTTTCATAAGGGAACACATTGAAGAGCCTTTGAGAAACATCAGAACACAAGTGCTCATAAAATTAATTAAGCCTTACACAAGAATACATATTCCTTTTATTTCTAAGGAGTTAAACATAGATGTAGCTGATGTGGAGAGCTTGCTGGTGCAGTGCATGTTGGGTAACACTATTCATGGCCGAATTGATCAAGTCAACCAGCTCCTTGAACTGGATCATCAGAAGAGGGGTGGTGCTCGATATACTGCACTAGATAAATGGACCAACCAACTAAATTCTCTCAACCAGGCTGTAGTCACTAAACTGGCTTAACAGAGAACAAGCTTTTACAGACGTACTTAAGGCAACAGTGCAGAGATGTAATTCTTAAAAGAACTGGGAATGGCAAAACTACTGTCGGTTGATGTGTCCTGAAAATTATTGGAGTTAATGGCAGAAGTGCTTTTTTTGATCAACTGGTTTGTGTTTTGCTGCTGCATTTATCCCAAGAAAAACAGCTTTAATCTCCAGAAGAAAACCAAAATGCCATGCGATTTATGCTGTATTGACATCTTGCCCTAAACATACAACATCATAGTAATTTGTCATGGGCAACATGACCAGAGAGAAGATTTTTGTCATGATTTTAAATACACTGACATGCTACTGTTGGTTAAACTTAAACATGTTTTACCTACAGAAATTCTCTCACAAATAACCTGCAATAACTTGAAATGCATACCCTTTTGAACACTTCCTTTTCTCATGTATAAATTAAAATGTTTGCTGCATTTCTCAAAATGTCAGTTCTCCACAAATGTGTCCGTATATTTCTGTACCTGCAGTGTAGTAAAGGATTAGATGAAACCCCACAATTATAGTGGCATACTGTCAGTTAGGTTTCGAGCAGCAAAATAAACAGTGCAGCTCAGAAATTGTAGTTTGGTTCTTGATGTGTTCTTATTACACTTGGGGTTTTTGTTTTGTTTTTTTAGTACCTTAGGACTTTCAAATTTTATCTTCAGTTAACAATTTTTAAAAGCCTGGCAGCAAATAAGTTTAGTTGTTTGCTTTCAAGTTTTTAAAAAAAATCTTTATTGATAAAGTAAGTAAAAACTAGTTTCTAACAAAACACTTCCATATTACTTTTAACAGTGATGCTTTAAAGGAATAAATTTTTTTAAGAATGATACTCCTTTTTAAAATAATAAATTCTAACTCTCAGAATGTTCACTTTAAACAAATATGCCAGAACATAGACAGCTAAATGAATGTTACCCTACATAGTGATTATCCTGGAAAATTATTTACTAATCCCAGCAATTTACCATTGCTCAAAATCTCGGGTTTTGCTCTTTTAGAATTGCATTCATAGCTAATTTAAGTCACACAGAGTATTCACTTTATGATTACACATTGTTTTAAAAGAAAAGTACTACCAAGCTTGATCATCTTATAGTTACCATTATTTGGCACAAAATGACTTTTAACAGTTTACAAAAAATAAATCAGTTTTTGAGGTAATCATAGAAAGTATGCAGCTGGCTTTGGAGGCAATCCCAAAAGAGTTTTTAAAGGTATTTTGAGCAGTGGTAGCATAGTTAAGAGAATGAACTTGGCTGTCCAAGGTGACTGACTACCTTAAAGGAGACACAGCTCATTTGAATGTATTGAGTTTTGGATGTATTTGTTTCATTAAAAAAAAAAAATCACATTATTTTATAGCGTCAAAAGGAAGAACTAAGATTAAGATAATTTCTTTGGTTTTTCTATTGCTTTGTTATTATGTAAAAAGAAGTGAGTGGCAGTTCAGAAGGAAGACTGTTGTAACTGAAGAATGGCAGCCAAGAATTTTTGATCATTAAATCAGATTTTATAAACAGTGTAAGGATAATGGACTTAAAACAAGGCATGCTTATTCAGTTTTGTCAAAATTTTATGAAAATATGTGATATATATTTATACTAAAACTATATAATCCATAGGTTTAGGAAAGCAATCAGTTAATGTCTTCAGCAGATTAAAGCAGTATTAAATAACAGGTACAAGTTGGATATTGTAGAAAACAAAGAAAACAAAAGACAAAATGTCTTTGGTAGGGAATAAAAAAGTTTAAGATATAAAATTATGTGTATTTTCTTCTCTTTTACATAAATAACTTGTGAAAAGTGTGCTAATTTTTTTTTTTTACAGGAGTGATAGTAACTAGGATTTCTTTTTTAGTATAATTTGGAGACCCTTTGTTACCCAAATAAAAATGACAAGTTCCTGTGCCTGTATTCAAAAAAAAAAAAAAAAAAGAAAAGAAAAAAGATTCTATAGTGGTTAGTATGGTGTCATTCTGCAATATAGACATATTGAATCATTATGTTGTATACTTGAAACTAATATAATGCATGTCAGTTATATCTCAATGAAAAACATACTGGAGTTTAATATTTTTTGACTTTTCTTTACAATAGACCTCATAAAGAATAGTCAGAATGCCTTGTTTAAAAGTTATTTGAATTATTTTTTGTATGGTTACATTGTCAATGTGATATGCAGTGGATTAATTTTTTTCTAATTTTGTTGTAAATCTTTTTGGTTTTATTTTCAAATAACTTAAACATTTATGAGTTTCAAATGGTAGATCTATGTTAAAAAGCCATATTGCAGAGAAGTCTTTCTCCTGTCTTACTCCTCCTACATCTCATTCCACCCACCCCAGAAGCTGCTGTTTGCATTCGTTTCTGCTCTGTCGTTCCTGCGTTTTGCTTTGCACATGTGCTTTCTTATTCCCCCTCCAGTCGTGTACAGAAGGTTGTACATTGTACATTCTCTTCTGCGCCTTGCTTTGTTTGGTGGCAGCACAGCCTGGAATCCCCTACGCAGTTCACAGAGGCCTGCACCATTCTTCTTTGTGGCAGTGGAGTGATTACTCCGCTGCGGTTGTGCTGTGGCTCGTCATGAGTCAGGTGACCAGGCCACTGTAAGGGGGCAAGCAGACTGTGATTGTCAGAGAACCAGGTTGGAACATATGTACATTCTTTTACTGTCTCTCCTGTCCATCTTTCCTTTTCTCTGAAATAGATTCCTAACTAGATTTACCTTCATTTTATTCACTTGCCACCTTTGATACACTTTTAATTCTGTTTGGATCATGCTCTCCCTTTATTCAGACACTGAAATGACTGTGGCCCCAGGTACCAGCCGTGCAAGCTCAGCCAAATGTATAAGCCTCAGACTCCCCCTGATCAAGTCGGGTAACAGCCATACCTTCCCCAGGGAGTTTTGTAAGAACTAAATGAGATAATTTGTGCAGAGAGCTTAGCAAAGCACATAGTAATGGATTAATAAATGATGATTTTTATTTCTTACCCATAAAGTACATATTCACCGTGATAATATTCAGCCTTCTTTTCCAAATTTGATTTATCATTATGCCATAAACATCTTTACTTTCCTGCCTTTTTGTTTGTATATCTTCTTCAAAGCCTGTTACTGATACCACCAACTTGTATTTCTCATGTCCACCTCTCCAGATCCCAGCCTTTAAGATTAATGCAAGTTTCCATACTTGCTTCTTCATCTCACCTGGGAATGTCAGTATCCATTAACCAAACAACATCACTTGGCTTCTGCAGATCATACTGTTCTTTTGAAGTCAACCCCATTTACCGTGCTCCTGACTTCTTCTTACTGTATTTTGTGGGCTCCGTTATAGGTGGGATCTTGTCTGTCTTTGTGTCTCATCTCATCTCTACCACAGTCCACTGTGCAGAGTAGGGCCTAATTAAACCCAGAAAACTCAATGTTGCACATATGTCTTTCTTTTAAAAATGCACCTGAGTAATAACTTACTATTTAGTAGTTAATGTTGGTACTAAATATATATTCACAATTATATTTAAATCACATGTGCTAGTGGTTATGATCAAACTATTAACTTTTCTGAAATAGGAGTATGTGCTGAACTTTCTAAATTATTTTTGCTATAAAAGTCAAACATGTTAGATCTTTAGCCATCAAGTAAAAATATTGGTGGTTATTGTGTTACTCTTATTCATACAGATTTTATTCCTTTAAAAGGTTTTGCCCTTAATTACTGTATTTATTGAAGAAAATAAGTAGAATAACTTGAAAGCAAAATTATATTCCCAGGAATACGTCAGGGTTTGCGGCATGCTTCAGAGGGTGTGTCTGAAGCTTGTCTAGTTTGGGGAGTTAAAAGACCCCCAGAGGATACATAATGCCCAAGAAGACTTGCACATTCTTCCCACACACAATAAAGGCAGGAGGCCAATGTGGGTTTATTGGATGAGAGTCTAAAACAGGTAATTGGTGACTAACACTTATGTGCTAACATAGAAACATAATGTTCTTACCTTTAATTGTCAAGTGGAGTTTTAGTTTTCTTTTGGTATCTAGGAAATCCATCAGTTCCTTCCCTCAGCAGTAAGGTGACCTGGGAGTAGAGTGGGAATGGTTCTGCCGCTCTAAGGAGCCTCTGCTCTACAAGTTGAGAGCTTGTTACAAGAGGAAGCACATCTATTTTATTCCTTTTGTAGTCGGAAATGGAAAGAGTGACGGAAGTGTTCTCCCAGAGAGTTGGTAAGTCACAAGGCTATTTGGTTGGCTATTAACTTATTAAGTTTTTGGGAGAACTTTCGAGCTGAAATAGCACCCACCACCTAATTTTTCAGAGGGAGCCCAGAGAGGTGAAGTAACTGGACCAAGGCTGCTCAGCTGTGCAGCACCAGGACCTGGATGGAGACTGTTTTTAACCTTAATAGACCGATCACATTCTGAGGGGGAAAATACATTCTTTTGAGATGTAAATACTATTGGAAAAATGATTAGCTATTTAAAATACATAGTGTTCATTCAACTCTTGTTTCCTGAGCGCCTGCAGTGTGCCTGCCTGTTCTCACGGCAGTGACGGTAACCCCGCCTTCGGGAGCTCATGTTCTAGTAAGAGGAGGCAGGTCACAGACAAGTGACACCCCATACATCCCTCAGTGATGTGTGTACTGGAGATAAATAAGCCATAGAAACAAAAGGAGTGCTGGGCACTGGGGGAGGCAGCAGCACCGGGCCACCCAGGACGACTAGGAGAGCCTCGTTGTGAGGCTGGCGTTGAGCAAACACCCGAAGGAGGTGAAAGATCGAGACTTGTCCGTCCGTGAAGCCCTCCAAGCAGAATCCCCACGCAAGGCCTGAGGGTTTTTGTGGGAGGAGGCTGAGCGTGAGCCACGCCCTGAGACGCTGATCCTGCCTGCTGGGGGGTGGGGGAGGCAAGAGGAGGAGAGCAACGCTGATTAGCGGACTGTGAGTTGGAGCTTAGACCCCAGGCTGCACGTGATGGTGGCGTGCACTGGGCAGGCAGTTTGTGGCACAGGGAGAAGTCTCGGAATGACACTAGATCTGGGCTGTAGTTAATCTGCAGTGTTTCTAAAGAACAAATTCAAAAGTAATAATGGAAGTAATAGAAGAAGAAAGTTGCACCTTAAGCAGATAGACACCTTAAAAAGTACTTTTGAAACACTTTGTTTGTTATATGCACTTTTGTTCATTTTAAGAAAATCAGTAAAAACGGACTCAGCAGGGCTGCTTTTGGCCAGTAGTTTGTAACCAATTGCTTGTAGTTGGATGATGACTATTAAGTACTCAAGTTCTTGCACATGCTAAAATCATACGTTCTTTTGAGGAAATAAAATGACAGTTTTAAGTGACTGTTATTCCGTAATTACAATGTGTCAATAGCTTTTAACCACGAATGAATGTCACTCTCAGG